ACAACTATCAATCCATATGGATCCAAGATTTAGACCACCTTTTGCACATGAAAAGCCCTACTGGATTTTGTGCACTCTCAGAAAAATCTGTCACTGGTTCCACTGCAGTGGACTTGGTCAGAGGAAAAACAACAGAAGCAGAAAGCTTTGGCTAAATAAGAATAATATATCAAAACACCCAATATTTTAATGAAAGAAACTGAATATCCACACATTTGCACTTCTGTACATTTTTTGTGATATATGTATAATTTTAAAGCTGTTTACAAATAACATTTAATGCTTTGAATATTACATAATGTTGATATTATATTTCTAGCAGAAATAAATATATTGCACTTAAAAAGAAACTTCTCATTAGATGTTGCTTCATAGTTTATGTTCATAACTTCTTTTTCCATAAGAAGATTTCCCCCTACCCCTACCCCATACACACAAACACACACTTCGGTACATGGTGAATGTGCTCACGCAATGCATCATAAACAATAAAGTCAACACAGCAAACAGCAGAACTGTGGTACATTCTGTTAAAGAGGTTACATCCGGGTTTTTACCTTCCTTATTTTTAAACCAAATCTTTCCTTGTGTTTATGAAGGTACAACTAAAAAAAAAAAAAAAAAAAATTGTTTAAATGTGCTAAAGGTAAAATACAGCAAACTGTATTTTTTGTCCTTAAACTAGCATAAAAAGTTACTTCAGGGTTTACTTAAAACACTGCTTAGTTGTCTTTTAAAAAGATAAAATAAAGAAAAAGAAGTTGTCATTTGATAAACTAGAGACTATATGCCAGGACAGTATATTACAGAGTAATACATAAATCCTCCGGCCAGCAAGTAAGTGGTTAGTAAAGAAACCACATCCCCTGCAGCAGAAAACACTCTGTAAGGAACAGTGAGAATAAGATCTCACCAAAACCCAAATTAATCTTGCAGTGAGTGAATATCATCCCTCTGCAGCTGATAACTGTAAGCGCTGTGGCCACAACTCCCTCCCAGATAAGATGTTCCACTGATCTCACTGCTGCTTTTACCCCAATCTAAGGGTAAATTACCACAATTTAACATACCCTTTTGGGAAGCTCCCCAAGTTTTTGCAATAATTTTCATTGATATGTCTGTTTCCCTATAGTACACACACATAAAGAGGATATAGTGCATAATCAAGTTGCCAGCCTGAACGTTTTCCGTTTAAAAGAGATTCATTCTCAAATGCTGGTTAGTATTTGCTGGGTGTTGGAAGTGGCAAGGTCTTCTTACGTGTACACACTCATGCAGTGTCACAGTTTCCATGAATAAAGCCTTCTGGGAGAAAATTTGCAATTGCATTTTGTAGATTGTACTACCAAGTATGTTAGCTATCACACAATTTGCCATCTTTGAACTCGTGAAGACACATTTCCTTTAGAAACTCTGTACCTTTATCCACTTGATCTGTGCTTGTTTGTCGGTTTATACCGAGAAGAGTAACAGTGAAACACCGTGGCACTGAATTTCTGTCTTTGACAGTGCCTCAGGCCGTATAAAGCAATACTGCAAATCAAACAGCCAAATTTAAAATGGTTTTTTATGTCTAGCTTCTCTCAGGTCTCCAAAAGCAGAAAAAAAAAAAAATCAGACAAACACATCTAAGTTGGCTTTGTTAGTCTTTGGGATGCTTTTGTTGGATTAAAGACCTGAGGCTGTTGACTATCTATGCATAAAGGGGTAATCCAGAAAACATCCAGAAGTACTCATAACACTTTGTAGGATAATCTTATCATTCTCTTTGAAAAGCATATTCAGGCATGTTCTTTCCACCCTTAAAAAAAAGGAAAAACCCAACAACATAAACCAGCACCAGTTTGCTCAGCCAAGGGAGCTCATAAAGGTGAAGAGCACTTCTCATGGGACATAAAATGTGAATTATATTGGAAAATAAACTCTAGATTATATTTGGCATTCCTAGACCATCTACCAGCAACAGATGTCCTGTCCTGAAAGTGATGTAACTTTGACAGCAGTGCAGCAACTCCTTAAATAAATTACTGAGTTATCCTCACAGATAATTTTTTTTTCAGGAAATGCAATGTCACAATTTAACCAATTAATTACAAATTTACATTCATTTCCTTCCAGTTGTGAAATCAATACTAAAGCTGATTTGTAGTTGGGTTTTTGTCTTTTCTGTAGAGTTCCTACATTGTTGCTCTCGCTACAGTCAGTAAGAGGTAGGATTGTGGGGGTAAAGAAGAGGAGGCGAGAACTGTACACACCTATTGACCTTCTTCCTGAGGAAGGCTCTCACAAGCTGCTTTCATTCCCTTGCTTGGGACCTGCCCGTGATTCTGCATTAGTGGGGAACCCAGTGGGCTTCTGATGCAAAGGAATCAAACCATTGTAGAGCAGCAGGGGGAGGGATGAGCACACCAAGAGAGACTTCATCTGACTGGAAAAATCAAGCTGTGGATTTTGACAGTTCTGCATTGTCAGAAACTCATCACAGAGAATTTGCATAAGTTGGCCATATCGTGTTTTTATACAGGCACAATCTACTGCCATTTTTTTCCACAAATGAATCACATTTTATTCATAGTGAAAAGCACTTGTCCTTCATTTAATAATGACTTTGTCAAAATCCAGTTTCTTTCTCCAGGAAGAGCCTGGAGAATTGTCTCTGGAACAGTATCAGGGGCATTTCTGGATGACAAATATTGGTGTTTTCAGAACAGGGACTGGGACAGGGCTAAAAAGATGGCACAGTTTCCTTCTCTGAATTTACTTCACCAAGGGAGGACAGGTCTATGAGCAGGCATTAATGTGACTGGTAAACCATTCCTAAATCAGCCTGCCTCTTCCAAACTTATTTCTGGAGTCATATGAAAGCTGCCTACTTACTTGACCATTTCCTGATGGAAGTATCAGCATTAAAGCTACTGGTTTGAATTCTGAACCTGACCAAATCCCCTGCAACTCCAGCTAAGTTAAAGGAACTGAAGAGAAAAAGACAAAAGAAACAGAATTTTGCCGCAGGCTTTAGTGCATGCTGTCATAGGGCCTTCATACAACTCTAACAGAAGTCAAGCAACTGAAGGAGAGGATTAAAATTTAGTTCCAAATCTCCCCTGAAATTCTAATTTCTGTGGAATCATATACATACTTGAAGAGTTATGTTGTTGTGGGGCCAGTATCATCTAATTTCCTGACAAATAGGGGGTTTATATCAAAATGGGTCATAAGTAGACACAACCTTGCAACATGCACTTTTCAGGTGAATCTGATAGCCTGAAGCAAAATCTAAAATTTGGATACACCAAGCCAAATTCAGTGTCTGTTTTTAAACCATTTGTCTTCGCTCTGTGTGATTGAGCATATAAGATGAGAGAATGGGACAAAAAAGGGTGCATGACTTGCCTCGCGCTTCACAGAGATGGGAGGCAGGTGGCTCAAGTGTGCTGCACTCCACATCTTACCATTTGATACCAACACACACTGGTCAAAAGTAGAGGAGAATAGTGCCAAGAAAGTCTGTTTTCCATTCTGTGTTCCAGCTCTACACAGAACTTTATTGGTGAGATTGGATTACTGGTTCTTTTTTATCAGTAGATGTGTTATCATCTATAACTTGGATGCAACTCTACACAGAAACTCTGTGTTGACTTCTTATTTACAGTGAAATCCTAGCTTGTGCCACGCAGAAAACCAGCATCACACTGGTTTTCTTTCCAGCAGTGCAAAGGATTCGTGCTAGCTCTCTGCAGAGAGATTATTTTTTCTTATACCTCTATAGTTCCTCTGTTGCATCAGACATAACCTGTTAGGACAGTACTTGAGTGAGAACCCTAATTGCTAACTGAAAAAAGGCAGATATGAATTTTTAAAAAATTACGTGTGGTGTTCTGCACTGATATTTTCCCAAGGAAACTCCACCATTCTACAGGGACGTGGAAAAACAGACAGTACAACCCTAATTTTCCTGGCCAAAGAGCTTATATAATAACAGCCATGACCAAACCCAAGAAAATCAGACCAAGTAGAAGGATACTCCAGTGCCACTCATCTTATACCAGTCCATTGATTATAGTTTGATCTAGAGAGTCTGCAGACTGATCTAGCCTGAAATTCGGTGAACATTGTACATATTTGCAGCTAGAAACAGGTCTTCAGTGGCAAGCGCAGCAGCAAACAAACATTGATTTAAAGATTTGATGTCTTGGGTTTCTAAGTTTAAGTAAGAGATTTCCCCAAATCGATGTTTTCCTTCATCATACCTTAATAATTAAATTGCTCCTCCTAGGATATAGGACAAACTTCTTTTTAGAGTGAAGGACAGCATATATCGTTGCTGCTACAATCCTGTAACACAGTTCTTTTTTTGGAACTGAGAAGTGTTTTGTGAAAGAAACAAAGAAAGAAAGAAAAACTTGTTAATAATTTTCTCTTTGGGATTATAGTAGCAACTAAGAAATACTGCTTTTGGTGAGTATAAGCCAGTCTTTTAAAAAGGACAGCAGCCTTCTCCACTTTGTCCCGTTCCCAGCAAACATGTGCTGAGATAGCCTAAAACATGCTCAAAGTTACAGCAATACGTCTTTCTGTTTAGATGCTCATCAGTCACAAGAAGAGATGAAGATGAGTAGGAGTATTGTCTTTTTTCAGAATTCTTCTAGAGTATGAAAAAAAGACCTATACACAATTAATTTGTACGCTGCTGCATAAGCATCATCTCCTTCCGCTAGGTAGAATGCATCTTTGGAACAAGCTGCACACAACCAAAAATCCTGGGAACGTTGGGGTCCATTTTGTCTGTGTTACACATAGATCTGTGAGCAGCTCCAAGCTGCACGCTCTCTTCTTGTCATCCCTCAGCGGAGGAATCTATCTCCAGAATGCATTTTCTTAGCTGGTTTGCTAATGAGTTCAGCATTCCTGCCGCAGACCTTTTTCAGGAAAAGTCCCTTGTGTTTTTTCATACCCAACTTGCACATTTAAAACCTCGCGTTTCTCTTGTTTTACATCAGTCATACGAACGGCGTCATCACTGCGGAGGAGTGACGCAGTCCCTGGATAGCTGCGTAAGGACCCTGCTGGAAATAATGGTGGTACCTGGGCATGTGGAAGGAAGGAAAAGTGGGGCCACTACCTTGCATGGAGCTGGCTAGAGCAGAGGGGGTCAGAGGCATTCCCAGGCGGCTGTACGGAGGCAGAGATCCTTGGATGGGGTGAGGAATGGGTGTAGCTATGGATGCGGTGCTGGTACCCAGGGCAGTCAAAGACTGGGGATGCTGAAATCCAGGAAAACTGTTTGAGGAGGATACCCAGGAACTGAGGGACAGGTTATCAGATGTTGTGAAGGCTGACCCTGCAAGCAAAGAGAAAGAATGCCTGATGTTTGCACTGAAACATGGAAGGATGGTAAAATAGCAAAAAGGGGAGAAAGATTCTTTCACAGCAAGGCTAATTTTAATGACAAATTGTCCTTGGAAACACTTCCCAAATATTTCTCTCTCTTTATATCTTCCTTTATATTATGATTTGCCGGTTGCTTTCCTTTATCACTAAATCTTAGACAAATCTGCATTGTAAGAAGCTGGTTGCAGTGGCTTGAACTGTTAAATCAGCTTTGCATATTGGACATTTTTGGTATTAAATGATGAAGAAGCTTGCGGTGCTGCCCCTAAGCACTGAAGCATCTACTCTGACCTGGAATTCACTGCATTCCATCCCTGTTTTAAGACATGCTTGTAGATTTTTACGTCAGATCCTCAGTAGAACTGGTTATTTTTTCATAAAATTTCAGTCTGTCAAAAATACAGAAATATGTAATTTTCACTACAAGTATTCCTTCATTTTTTTATCCTAGTGAAACTTACCAGCACTGCATCTTTTAACTCAACTTGACTTTTTCCAAAATATAGACCAAATAACTCTAAAATGTCAAAACATTTGTTATTTTTCCAACTGTGTACAGTGCTTGCAGAAACAAGACTAATGCTAAGCGATATGTGAGGTTTTAAGTGAAATGCACAAAAATATTAAAAACCTGCCCCATGGTAATTATCTACTTTTGATCAAATGGAAGTGGTTTCTTTGGGGTTTTTTTTAATTGGAAAAGTTCCAAAAATTCTTTTCACAAATCTTCCACCTCTTAATAACGCCTTTTCTCTGAAGACTGCAAAATCAGAAAAAAAAAAAAGGAAAAATAGTATATTTTAATTAGAACTGATTATTTTATTTGAAGATTGCAAAATCAGAAAAAAAAAAAAAAGGAAAAATAATATATTTTAATTAGAACTGATTATTTTATTTTGACAGTAAATTTTTTGGGAAAACAATGAATAATTTGTTTTGATAATTATACATGATCATTTTCAAATAACCTGGTGACAGTGTTGCCTTTCACCTCTGCAATTTCTCTATGTATCTGGTCATCATCAGATGTTTGATGTCTAGAAATGGGGAATACAATAAAATCCTATTAAAAAACCTTTTTTTTTTTTTCCTATTCAAACAATAATTCAACTCATGTCCTTTCTGTATTTTCCTTCTTGTCCAACTTTGTCCATTGAGAAAACATTTCTTAATTTAAGAAATAAATTTACTGGCAAGAATTTGGCAAAATATAATTTCAAGCCCATATTGCAAAACATTCTGAGAAAACAAATTTTACAACAGGTATTAGTTTCATAAATCTGATTCCAGAAGATAGGTTCATCCAAATTGTGAAAAGAAAAAATGTGAAGACATCTATCTGTCAAGGTAAACTTATTGGAATTATGTGTACTAACCAATCTTAGCCACGTACTCAAAATGAAACTGTGAGCAAACAACAATAGAAAGAAAAAATAAAAATTATTACTTAAAAAAAAACATAGATCTCTTTAGAGATATATTCTTAAATCAGAAAGAGAGCTACTCTTGATTAATTCCTCCTCTGCCTGATGAAACAACTAAACCTGCCCAGTAACAGGAAAGAGAATTGTGTCAGTTCAGCAATAGAAATGGACTTGAGCCAAATCCCGACTCCTCCACTGAACCAAACCCTAACTGCTGGCAGGTGAGAATCCAGAGCCAAACCATAATGATCACACCATCCTCACAGACCAGAGCAAAACCCTGTAGAAATCAGGGGATATCTGAGTGTTATTGCACTACAGGGAAAGCGGGATGCTAGTCTGGATTTGACAACAAGGTTTACATTTGGCTCTGTTCCAGGTGGCTACCATGAATCCTGTGTGTGGATGCTGGAGCACAGGCACCCAGACATTATGTATTAAAGAGTTTTAATTAGATTTATATATTTCATATCTGTTAATTTCTTTGGAAACAGACTTATTGTGATAAATACACTACTGAAAGCTAGCCACTTCCATCTTTAGATAGCTGAAATTGTCTGAGATGAGCATGCTCCGAATGTCATTAGAAATAAATAGCAGTGATAGACTTTCTTTGCTCTACACGGAACAAAGTATGTGACTGGTTCTCATGAGGAACCTCCATAAGGACCCTTTCCTCCTTCAAATGCACGTGACCTAAAAAGAGAGTGAAGGCAGCACAAGGTACTCATCTGCAAGAGCAGGATGTTTTACCCTCTATGCATACCTCTAGTTGCCCAGAACAACCATGTCCTAATGCTAGCATATGGGTCCCAGATGAGAAAAAAGTTGTTTGCCACCAATCATTGTCTTCCTCACTTATTCCTTTGCCATACTGCAAGCAAATGCAGAACTGTGCCCTGTATATATTGTACATAAAATTAATTTTATTAAACTATTCTTTCCTCCTATGACACCTTGCTCAGAATTGTCTTCAGAAGAGAAAGTCTCTGGGGCCAGTTCTCGTGCTGAACTTCACCTTGTTGATCATTCCCAAAGGAGGACATCATATCAGGGAGAAGTTTAATTCTTGGAGAGAAGGTGCCTTGCTCTGAGCACTCCTGGCAAGGGAAACTTTACTACAGTCTTCGACAATAACTGGCTTAGGATCTAAACTGACATGAAGCGAGGTAAACCCCAGAAGTATGTAAAAGGATGGCATCTCACCGGCTGCTCCAGAAACTCCACAATGGAAGGAACTGCTCTTAGAACAGATGTGCATGAACAAGCCCACCTAATTGCTTTTTGTTGAAGAGCAACGCATGGTTAAAAATAAGTGTGTTTTCTCCGCGCAAGTCCAAGAGCTGATGACCAGAAATAATGCTCTTATCTTAGTGACACTGTATGGAGTTAGAGGACAAGGCAAGGGCACTGCCAGGCGGAAGGCAGATAGAACTGCTTTACCTCAAGTGGCTGTTGCATATCAGGCGGGTCACAGAGTCAACATGCAAAGTACAATGCAACACGAGTTTGTACTACTCAGCGATCCCACAGGATGGGTTTGAGATCTGTTTGCAGTGGCAAATAATGGCAGATGCAATCCAGTGAGCATCCCCACAAAGAGCAATTCTACCTTACTACTACTTTTAACTGCGAAAGTAGACAAACCATTTGACAAAGCATTTGAGACTAATTCCCCAAGCAGGAAAGGCACCTTTTGGAGACCAAATAACAAATAAAGATCAATTTTCTAGTGAGCTGTTTACTTTTCTTCCTGTAGAAGCAAAGGAGGTTAACCTTAACTACAGGCTGGTTGAAGATGGTCAACCAAGTCCTCTGTTTGCAGAAGGCTGGAGGAGCAGCAAATGGCACATCTACATGATACTTTACAAATGGTGCTGAGCCCCAGCTAGTAAGTCCTGCCAAGGAATAGGGAGTGTTAACTTGTTCTCAGCACCACGGTGATGAAGTTGCTTGGTTTTCAGCCACCTTGAAGAGGATGCAAAGAGAGTTCTCTTCTGCTGGCAAAGGCTGTATAGGAACCTCTAGAGCTGCCTCCTGAACGAGCCACCCACACCAGTGCCATAGGCATAGCAGATGTCCAGAAGAGCCATAAGGTGGCAAGTATTTTTCTTCATTACAGCACTTATGGCAGAGAGACACCCCAGAGAAATGCTTCAGAGTGCTACAGCACTGACTGTGGTCCTCCTTTTCTCAAGCATAACTAGAACACCAGTTTAATTCATGAGCATATTTTTCCTACCTCTGCTTTGCGTTGCCTGGCTCTCATCTCCTAGATCATCTTCTCCTCCGTAGGTTCGAATGGGGGATCGGGCATAGGAATGCTTTTGGATAAGGCTCTCCACACTTTCTCTGCGAAAGGACACAACGTATCGTATCAATAATATCATGAACAACCTCTTACCTGCATGATACTGCTTCTTCCACAGACAAATTAGACTGAACTTCCCTGGCTCAGGGAATATAAGACCACAATTCTTCACAAATTTGGAAATGCAAGCTCCGGGGTTATTCATGCTGAGTGACCAATCTAGGTTCAAAGAGACACCTGTGGTCCAGCTTCTTTCAAACAAGCTCTCACATCACACATGCACCACCTTGTCGGGCACTCTCCCATTTTTCTGAAGTCAGGGGCAAGAGATAGATGCATCCAGAGACAGCTCAGCTCTAACCATGCTCTCTCATCGGCAGAGTCAAGGCCAGTTCGTAGCAGGAAGTCTACAGATACTAACGATCTCATGCTGCATCTATTCTGGGAGGTTAGATGTGTCTGCCAAGCCCCTGCCTCACTGGTGGCACAAAGCACTGAAGTCACCCAAACAATTTTTAAATAGAAGGAAAGCATATCTGCACGATAAGCCATAGCAGTTTGTAAGGAAGATCCAACCTTACACATTCCCGGAGCATTTCCATGTAAGTAGGTGGCATTTTACCAAAGCTGAATATGACCTAGGCACATTTCCAATATGGCTTTGACCTTCTGTTCCCATTTAAGAAATCAAGGTAGTGATAGCTGTTGAAATCTGTTGCTCAGTGAAGGTTTTGTCTGAATTTACCATTAGCATTCATACTTGCTAATGCCCTTTGCTCAGAGAGTGTGGCTGTTCCAGAAATTCCAAGGAAAAACATATTCCAAGGAAAAACATTTTCCAAGTAACACAATAAATCACAATGGCACATGTTTTCCTTTCCTACAGAAAACCCATTATGGTCATTTTGTCCTTGGTGTATCCCTGGCATCATTACTTATGCTAGTCTCCTTGGAAAAAAATAAATAGAAAGGGGATCTTATCAAAGTGATTTACTTGTGTCAGGATTGGAAGTGGACTGAAAGCAATGGCAGTTCCTACATAGAGGATGATATAATTGAATTACTGCCTTTTAAGTGATTGAAAACAGTAGACATATCGGGGCTATCTCAAAGAAGATTCTACAAAGAAAAAGACAGATGGCATTGTTTACATTATGTGCTGAATGCCTCTTGAAACTTTTTTTTTAAAGCAGAATGTGAAATGCAAAGAATTTTACTTAACCAAAAAGACTATCTCAGATGAGTACAGAATAATGAATTAGACCAGTGTTGTCTGAGTGATTTAGATGGCAGTCTATAAAAATATTCATAACCAAAGAATTACTAATCTTTAAAGGTCTGAAAAAAAAATGTGATTCAAGTGATTGTCTATATTGTCTGTATTGACTTTATTTCTAGTAAAGGTTTGCTCATAACAACAGACATCACAGCATGTAATAATGTCCTGATGCAACAGAGACAATGCAGGCTCTAGTTTTAGTGCAGTGGGCCAAATTCATCTCTGAAACATTGGAACCGATGGTGGTTTGGGGATAAACTCACCCCAATAAATTTACATTTGAATTACCTACAGGGATTTAAAGCTAAATCAAATGCCCACAATTATTGCAGACTAAATTCTTTCCAGATGGGTTTGTATGCTAGACAGAGAACTCTATTATTCTGCATGGTTGTCTTCTTTTAAAGGAAAAAGAGATATGAATTCTTAGTGAACCCTGAATCTGCAAAGTTTGAAACCAGGGAACCATGTTGTGGGTTTATTTCTTTATTTTTTGTGTGGTCATGTTGCAGGTAGTATGCTCAATGTTTTAAAAGATTAATCTCATTCATTGGCACAAGAAGCAAAGGGTTTATTGCAAAGGGAATGGCCTAACGAAGAAACTTGGACCAGGGAGAGCCACTAATTTCACAACAGCCGTTCCTTTTGCACAGCTGTGATTTAATATTCAAAACTGTATATGCTTATCTTGCCTAACCATGTTGGTGGTTTGTGCTATAATCACAACACACCTGCTAATTTTTCATTTTAGACACTGAAGTTCACATCATGAGTGCACCGTGTTTTCATTCACACCAGAATTGAGGCACCTGGCCCCCACTGCCTTCAGCAACGCATGCTGCATATATACCTCCAAACAGCCCCACAAAAAGCAAAAGGCTGAGCAGGAAACCACCTAAGTATGCAAAAGGAAGCAAAGAAAAGCAAAAAGTGGTGTATTTTCTCCACTCATGAAGCGTATCTCTGGGCTATCCCACCAAGCACCATTTCTTCCACCCAACAAAACAAGAGCTGAAGCCTACACTCAGGTCTCCCCCATTCTGGACAAGTGACCTAACTACAAATTTAGGGATACCCTTTCCTTGCCTTTGTGTTTCAAAGGGAAGAGGCAGTAGCCTCTGCACCGTGCTCAAATATTTCATTCTCAGGTAACACTACCCAGAGACCAGGTCTTCTCAGAGAAGACAGGGATTGCAACTCCTCTAATTTGTGGAAATGTGGAGTTTCCCACATAGGTTGGAAAGAGGAGCCCAACCTCCTCCACCCTTTGAAGACAGACTTGCTCCAATGTCGATGTGTAGGAGGAAGCAAAACTTTAAAAACAAGGTTTAAGTGCCTGTGAAATCTGGTTCAAACTGCAAGAACAAAGCTGTCAATCTGGAGGCACAGATTCCTGCTTAAACTGTTTTTTTCAGCCAGGGCCAAAAGGACTTACATCTCAAAATCTTCCTGAAAATTCTGTTTGTGGAATTGTGAACTCTTTAGGCTATCCAGAATATGGTGCTCTGTAGAGTGGGCCAGTAAAATAAATTTGTTAAACTCCCAAAATATTATTATTATTATTATTAATAACAGGTAAAGACTCATTAATTTAAACCTGTGGCTTTATAGCTCTGTGTGCAACATCTTCAGATATCTCAATGTGGTCCAAAGGATTTATGCAAATAATTTTATAAATTACTGAATGATAAATCAATATTTGCCATTTGATGATTCTGGTCAATTAAAAAAAAAAAATCAGTAAGTGCAGAGTGGGGTGGAACTTTTTTAAAGCTTTCTTTTAGTTTTTTTCAGAGCCGATACACTTTGAACTGGCTGAAGAACAAAGTGACTTCCAGTTACTCAATGCTCAACTTCTGTACTTCTGTTACTCAGTTTGTGATTAGACACTTGTTATCTAACACTTTGTTATCTAATACTTTTTAAAATAATTTTTACCTTTTCAGGTATCTTAGAACTCCACAGTTTCTTCTATTAGTGATAAATCAGCAATAAACTTTGTTTTGAGAGGTCACAAGCTGCGAGTTGGATAAAGGAAAGACATCTTCTTTCTATCGAGTTCTTTTGTGTGGTCTACCAGCAATTTTCAGTCTTCCAGACTGCTCTTCAACTCACAGTTATCTTGTGAATACCCAGAGGAGGGGAAAAACACACATGCAGGCATAATGTATGACTATGATGAAGCTGTGCTGTGCGTACAACTGGATAATAGTAGCAGATGACAGGCTGGAGAAGAGCAAGTTAGGGGCTGAGGCTGTTTGAGAGAAACAAGAAGGAACTGTGTGCCAAATGGAGAGGGGAAAAGGCGAAGCTTGTGTTGCCTAGCACAGCCGCAGAGAAGATGCTGAGACGGGATAAATGTGAGGAGAGGTAATAGAGAAAAGGATCTCAGGCTGATGCCAGTGATCTGCATTCTGACAGAAGCACACTGAGCCCGGCTCTGTCGGTAAACCTCTGCTTCTTATGAACAAAGCACTTCTGTCCTTCATGCGAGAGATAAAACAGAGCTTTGAAGCAGGAACAGAAGGAAGTGAAGGTTTGTGAGAATTTCTCAGTTACAAGGGTGCACAGAAAGCATACTGCCATTCTGCAGGTTTTAACCTCTCAACTAAATATTTCACTCTTGCCTCTGCCAGCAACTGATTCCAAAGCTAAAACTTTCAGCTAGAGATGCTTGATGTCTTGCAGCTACAAGCTGAGCCTTTGGCCTTGTTCAGTAACGTGCCTTGTATGCACAGAGTAGTCTCAGAGGATCAAAAGTAGATAGGAAGATCCTGATGTAGCTGATAAATGATTCACTAATACTTTACAGACTAAACCCAAGGTCTTGCCGTGGAGATGAACTGGGAGATGGCAGAAGACAGAGTTGTCTTAGGAAGCAGCTGAGGAGCAAGGCCCTGCATGAGGATGCTCACTTCCTTTTGCTGTCAACCCAGATTACTGAAACTCTCTGGGGAGACGGTAAAGCCTCCGATTACCCTGAGCAGGATCTTTAATCAAGATGAAAGAACAGTGCTTCTTTGTAGGTGGAAGCAGGCATCTCTTTGATGCTTCTTCATGTCATTTTTTCTCCTCCTTTTGCAGTTACTCTGCTTCAGCTTTGCATTCACAGCAGCCTGGTGATCACCGTGACCCTGATCCTGAAGCGTGTGACCATGAGCCCTTCTGATATTGAGAGGTGCCTGCATACACCCCAAGCTGTGGATATTCCCAAGTTTGTCAGAGGACATGCCCAGAGGATGGAGACAGGAAGCCTACCTTCTCCCTTTGAGATGGGGAGAATTGAGGCAAGATGCTTAGTTTTAGCAGAAGGCATTAGGAAAGCTATCCAGAACCAGCTGGAGCCAGGCCGGGGTTAGTATCCATCTTAGATATATACCATGGCTCCAGAGAGGATGGCGTTGATGGAACAGGCAGCCACCCACTCCACTGGTAGCCAGGTTCCACCGCCTTTGAAAGCAACGTACAAAAGCCAGACTACAATGAGAAAGAGCAGGTGGCGGAGCCAGGCACTCTGAACTCACATCCTCTGCAGGAGTTCCTGGCTCAGGAATGGCTACAGGAGGCGCATATTTTAGAGCAGGGTTGAGCAACCTGTTGGTGTTTTCTCTTTTTGCCCTTACTATCCGAGTGCTAGGTAAGGAAAAAGGTAAAGGGTATCCTCAGAATCCATTCCCTATTCCTGGTGCCATGGGTTTTGTCTTTTTCTTTACAAGAAAGGCCACATTAAAAATAATAATGGAAGGAAAATAATAAAATACT